TTTGGCTTCTTTTACAGTGTTACTTGAAAGACGGAGTAAAATTTGGCTTTTTTTATCTCGTTACCTGGAACTCAATTTTATTTTCACTTTACTCTGTGTAACTCAAAAGTTACCACTACTTACTAAACTCATTTTGCCATGTTTCTGTTTCGTCTGTCGAATAGTCACTAAATTGCTAATATGGATGGGTAAAAATGTAACATGACATGATTATTTTAGCTACACTCATTGGAACTCGATTTTGATCTCATTTTATTCTATAAAACTCGATTTTGATCCTACTTTGCCTTTTGAAACTCACACATCGTCATTTTAAAATCTCCACTTTGAATAGTTGAATGTTAACGCATAGTGAAGATGAATTTGATTATAAATCTCAACTATGCATTAACATTTGATAGTCATAAAATATTAAGTTTAAAAGAAGAAATCAAGAATTGGTCCTGCTTAAGTTTTCCAGAGCTTTTATCCGTTTTTCAAAATCCATGAAGTTTGCATGGTTCCCTGCCTGAGATGTTGTATAAGGTCTTTGTAATTCATCAACAGAGGCATTGATCTTTAGCAAAGTCTCCTAAATCTGTTCCTTGGTGTAGGGAGGTCCAGTCGCAGGAGCTTCGTTGTTCTCTGTGATGATTGTTATGGGTTTGGTTACTCAGACCAGGAGTTGTGAATACGTTGGGAATCAAATTATTCCCAGCGGGAGTGATGGAGGCTCTAGGGACTGGATTGTCTCCTGTCACCATTTCAATGTTAGGGTTAATAGAGCTTACTTCTACAAGCATACTTGTGGTATAGTGATTTGATAGAGAGAAATATGAGTCCATTCTCAATGAAAGCACCAATTATTGGAGCCAAATTCACGCACCGCCGTGAAGGGTAGAGATGCACAAACTCGATAACCTAAAAAAAAAAAATAAATAACCATAAGCAGCCAAGGATCGGGGTGTGCTGACCAAAGGCTCTTCAACGATCTAGTTAGTAAGCAAATATGTGAGACTCAAGCAATAGGCAAGAAAGTATGCGATAATTGCGTTACCAGAGATGACTCCTAGAAGGGGGTATTTATACCAATTGAAATAGAGTCTTTTTAGGATATGGAATCCGTATTAAATCAGGAGAATCGCAAGGATATCTAGGAGTATATATTGAATCCTCTTTGGATATGATTACTTGTGGTGCGCCGATCCTTAGATTGTAAGGATTCCAAGAATATAGGAAGCCTGGTTGATTCCTTATTGGATTATGTTTCCGTATCTTCTGGAACAAGAATGATTAATCTCAACAAAGTTGTCGAACTTCGCCCATTGCTCCATAACTAGATGGTGGTGGCATTGCTGCTCTGTATGTGCAGCTCTACTATTGTATCAATTGAGTCCATGACTGGACCACTAAGGTGTTCGACTTTCGATTTGCCTGACTCCGATTGTCACATCCCAGACTGGTTTCGCTGTAGCACGATATTGTCCTCTTTGGGCCTCGCCTTCACGGTTTTGTTTTTGGGAACTCACACAAGAACTTCCTAGTGGGTCACCCATCATGGGAATGCTCTCGCTCGAACTCGCTTAACTTCAGAGTTCCGATGGAACCCGAAGCCAGTGAGTTCTCAAATGCCTCGTGCTATATGGAGGTGAGCATGTACATATAAGGCACATCACTCCCTTTGTCGATGTGGGATGTTACACCGACCCTAAAAAATCATGGTCCCACAAATACTATACTCCTAGGGTTTGCATGATTGTCAAAGGTTTTCACAAAACGTAATGAGTTTCTACTTGTTCATATTTGTACAAAAGATAATGTTAAGGAGACCAAAATTTTTAAACCAAATTTGAAAACCAAATGATATGGTTAATTGTTGATGATTAGATAATTATTTAAGCGTTGATTAACGTGCTTATTTCCTATTGGTGACACATCATTTGATTTAAAATTTTGGTTTCCTAACATTACCCTTGTACTAACTACCATAAACAAGTTACATGTAGAGATATATAGAGAGTAAAATCAAACACATTTTCATATTGGATTATTCTAAAAAATATGTCACTGAAGAGTAAAATGTCAATTTGCATCTTTTGTTTTGCATATTTTCATTGGAGTTGCCCTAATGGGGCTACCTTCTAAGATGTTAAAAAATATATAATTTCATGTTTTTGTTTGTATTCTCTAGTGAAGGTGGAAGTTTTACATTCTTCCATTGAAATCACTACTAGAAATTATAATTTTGCCGACAAATTATAAGCCGACATAGCAAAATTTTGTTGGCACAAGAGTCTTTTCTCGACGAAAATTTTAATTTGTCGGCTGAATACTTGGGCTAGAACCAATTTACAACGCTAATTTTAGTTGAGAAAATTAGAACGTTAGCCAACGATTATTTTGTAGGCATAAATTCGCTTCCCTGACAAATTTGTTTTGACAGGTAAACTCTGGTGGGAACTTTTATTGAAATATTAGTCAACGATGTGAGGCATCAAAGTATTTCATTGGAAAATTGATAAGAGAGGCAACGAAGTGTGTCACAACCCGGCTCGAGCCCCTACCACATCTCGGGCTCGACTTCGTCGTAACACGATATTGTTTGCTTTGGGCCTCGACCACGCACTCATAGTTTTGTTTCTGAGAACTCACATGAGAACTTCCCAATAGGCCACCCATCCTGGGAATGCTCTCGCCCGAACTCGCTTAACTTTGGAGCTTCAATAGAACCCGAAACCAGTGAGCTCCTAAAAGGTCTCGTGCTAGTTAGAGATGAGAATATACATATAAGGCTTCCAGGATCCACTCCCTCGATGTGGGATGTTACAAAGTGTGTCATTGGCAAAGTGATAATAACTCTACGTGATAAGAACAAACTTATCAAATCCCCAAGGCAATCCTAACCTATCTTGTAACAACTCGGTAGGATCTTTCCCGCTCATAAACAATTTTGATGATCCTAAATCCTTAGGTTTATATATTAGGGTTCTTGCACTCTTAACTGACTCTCATCCACGTCTTTGCCTCTATCATCTCTCTCGCTTTCACGATCATCTCCATAATTTTGTAGAAACAACAACCACAAGCAACTAGGCTTAACAATGAAGATATAACCAAATTATTTAACATATTGTGTAATTATAGTTTGGTTCAAGACCTTTAGGCTACCATTACTTTTTGTTCTGATTTTTTCTTGGTCAGGGCATGTTATTGTTTGGCTCTTGTAACTTAGGGTGCACTACAAATTGAAGTAAAGTTTTTTATTTGGATTTTTTATGTGTCAATGTCTTTTATTTTTATTCTTACCAATGAATTCCAATGCACCGCATATATGTATTTACATTTAACTTAAACTTGGTTTTTTTTTTTTTTTTTTGTGTAGATGCTAATGATTAGCCAAAAAAGGAAACGACCTCTTGTGTCAACAAGAATCCCGCTTCTGCCATCCTAGTCACGATCTACATCTGCTATCGGAGCTGCTCTTCCTACTTTTTGTCAAGAGAGGAATAGGCCTGATATTTTAAGGCATACTTATCTTTCTTGCACACAATCTCATTTTATGGGTGGTGCGACCGGGAGTGATGCTTCTCAATTAGAGCCAAGAAACATTGATCCTCCGCGACCTTGGCTGGATAACACCATACCTTCTTCTCTCTGTACTCGTTCCCAGGCCATAAGTGGTACGAGTGGAACCTCTCTTTATCGCATTCAATCCCAACCCGTAATTGGTACTAGGGAAACTTTTTATCATCATCGAGACGCAGTAGGATCCCAACTTGATGATACTCATAATGATTTGCCTACTGAAGCACCTACAAAAAAGAGTGCAATTTGTCGTCGACATGGGAGTAAGAAATTAAAAAAAACAAATGTTATTTACCATGGTGAGCAATGTCATTACGTTACACCAATTATCATTGCATATTAATGCCTTTTTGCTTTTCCATTGTAGCTGTTCATGGTTATGTACCAAACTAACCAGATGAAAGACCAATGAGCGGGGCATGTTGGTTGGTTAGAACCAATCATATTGTTCATATTACGCCAGCAAAGATCATGGTTGTTATTGACCCAGTGCATAGGTGAGCAATTGATAAAGTTGTTCATAGCTTGTTGGCACATGATACAAGGGCAATTGTTCACCAACATTGCCCAATGAACACAACATATTGGAAAAGAATGTCTAACGAGTCGAAGTCAGACCTCGTCTTGGGGATCACTATGAGTAGAACCATTAATGTTTCTTTTGGGCTCGCTTTTTTTTTTTTTTAGCCTCTGATTGTTTCTATATTTCACAACACAATAACAGTTTCTTAGCTAGTGCCATATACTTAACAAAAAAATTAAGACAAAATGCATGAATGAATTAACTAAAACAATACCAGAAATTTCTCTGATTGAGAATGTTTGCATAAAAACTCCCACTGTCCAGGTTCCCCAGGTCTTGAGTCAATCTCTATCGAACAATTGGCGAATGCCTTCTCAGCCGATGCCCACTCTAAAAATTATGCATGTAGCTCATACTTGAACGCCTTGTATCGTCTAGACATGAGTCTATCAACATAGTCATCATGTTCTTTAATATTGGTGTCCAAGTCGAAGTTCACTTGAGATAGTTAAAAACAAGTCGTGATTTTAATCCAATAAAATTCAAACCAAAACTAAAACAAAATACATTGTGTTTCTAAGGTAAAATTCAAGTCATTATAGATATTATATGTCTTAAATTAATGGTTCTACTCACAGTGATCTTCGAGACGAGGTCTAACTTCGACTCGTCAAACATTCTTTTCCAATATGCCGTGTTCATTGGGCAGTGTTGGCGAACAATAGCCCCCATATCCTGTGCCAACAAGCTATGAACAACTTTATCATTTGCTCGCCTATGCACCGGGTCAATAACGACCTTGATCTTTGCTTGTGTAATATGAACAATATGATTGGTTTTAACTAACCGACATGCCCCACGCACTGGTCTTTCATCTGGTAAGTTTGGTATAGAACCATTAACACCTACAATGGAAAAGCAAAAAGGCATTAATATGCAATTATAATTGGTGTAACGTAATGACATTGTTCATCATGGTATATAACATTAGTTTTTTTAATTTCTTTCTCCCATGTCGACGATGAACTGCACTCCTCTTTCTAGTAGGTGCTTCAGTAGGTAAATCATTATGAGTATCATCAAGCTGGGATCCTGCTGCATTTCGATGTTGATAAGAAGAGGTCTCGCTAGCACCACTTATGGTCTGGGAACGAGTACAGGGCGAAGAAGGTATGGTGTTTTCCCGCCAAGGTCATAGAGGATCAATGTTTCTTGGCTCTAAGTGAGGAGCATATCACTCCTGGTCGCACCACCCATAGAATGAGATTGTGTGCGAGAAAGATAAATCTGCCTCAAAATATTAGGCCTATTCCTCTCTTGACGAAAAGTAGGAGGAACATCTTTGATAGCAGATATAGACCATGACTAGGATGGCAAAGGCGGGATTCTTGTTGTTGACACAAGAGGTCGTTTCCATTTTTGGCCAATCATTGTCATCTACAAAAAAAAAAAAAATAAAAAAGGAAAAAAAAAGAACCAAGTTTAAGTTAAATGTAAATACATATATGCAGTGCATTGGAATTCAATAGTAAGAATAAAAATCAAAGACATTGTAGCATAAAAAATCCAAATAAAAAACTTTCCTTTAATTTGTAGTGCATCCTAAGTTACAAGAGTCGAACAATAACATGCCCTGACCAAGAAAAAATCAAAACAAAAAGTAATGGTAGCCTAAAGGTCTTGAACCAAACTATAAATAAGCAATATATTAAATAATTTGCTTATATTCTCACCGTTAAGCCTTGTTGCTTGTGGTTGCTGCTTTTGCAAAATTATGGAGATGATCATGAGAGCTAGAGAAGCGAGAGAGATGATAGAGGCAGAGAAGTGGATGAAAGTCAGTTAAGAGTGTGAGAACCCTAATATAGAAATTTAGGGATTTAGGATCGTCAAAATTGTTTCTGAATGGGAAAGACCCCACCAAGTTGTTACAAGATAAATAGGAATTCTTACGAAAGTGAAATTGGATGGCGCGCTGAGAGCGAAGAATATGGGAGGGAGATCATGAGCAAATAGGATTAGGAATAATATGGGAGGGAGATCATGGGCAATTGGTGGATGTGAACCGACAAAATAGGTTAGGATTGCCCCTTGGGGATTTGATAAGTTTGTTCTTATCACGTAGAGTTATTATCACTTCACCGATGACACACTTTGTTGCCTCTCTTATCAGTTTGCTAATGAAATACTTTGTTGCCTCACATCGTCTGCTAATATTTCAATACATCGGGAAAAGTTCCCGCAAGAGTTTACCCGTCAAAACAAAATTCATTAGGGCATTGAATTTACGGCTACAAAATGATCGTTGGTTAACGTTCTAATTTTCTTGGTTAAGATTGGCATTCTAAATTGGGTCTGGCGCAACAAATTAAAATTTTCGTTGAGAAAGGACTCTTGTACCGACAAAATTTTGCTTTGTCAGCTATAACTTGTATTTCTAGTAGTGAATAGTCCCGTAGGAGTTATTTTACGTGACAAATCACAATTTATATCACAAATGTTCTATTTTTTACTTTACTGAGACATTTTGCATAAAAATCTCATATCTATTGACTCCACAGATGATTAAGTAGAGATAATAATATAATTATAAGAGAATTGCGGCCCTGAAACTTTAACACCTACCCCCTTTTCCAACTAGTTAACATGTGTAGCTCATATATAGTTCGAGAGTTTGCGTGGAGACGATCCATGAACTTTAAATTAGAGTTACCAGGTTGCCACATACAAATTCATCTTCGAGATTACTAGAAAGCCGACTTGTTTGCAAGGGTTTCTCTCTTCCGAATTTGAATTTTTATGTGTCCTCTGAATTGACTAGAACGAGAGAAAAAAAACGAAGTGATTAGTGGTTATAAGAAGCACCGTCGTGTATGGACTACAAGAAAAATCTTCCATGGCTAAAATATAGAGAAATGTCAAAAAAAAAAGAAGGTACGTCATGGATAGGTCTGCCCATCTTTAGCATTGTTAGTGAAGGAAAACCATGCTCATGAACTCATCATTTATATAGATATGGCCAACTGGTGGTGAGAGGAGGTTCCCCCTCTGTTGACAACATTAGGCCTCTAGTCAGAGGCGTTGGCACACTTGATAGCACCATCTCTGGCGCTTCTTGTACATAAACATCGACATCTACGACGTCTATAAACAAAGAAGTGGAAAAGGAGAATAGAGAAGGAATAAGAGTGAGAGTCGAATGTGCGAGTGAAGGTTATTTCGCCTACTCACCCGTTGCTTGCTACTCCTGATGTTCTAGAATTTCCATGGAGGTATTATTTTAGTACAACTATCACGGGGTAAGCTGTTTGACAAAAAATATAAGAAGAACAAGTAATTGGTGGGTAAGGAGGGGAAAGTGGTGTGTGCTTGTTTTACATCTTGGATCCACCACTACGGTACATGTTGTTTGATAAGTTTTTGCTTTTCTGCCTTTTTAGTTTGTTGAGGTTAAATTAGGATTAAGATGCAGGCGTTCTTTCATTTATATTTAGATGTTTTGTTGTTCACCATAGTTTTTGTTGTCTCCTAAATCCTAATGCATATTTTCTTTATTTTGTTTTCTGGGTAAAAAGGAAGCTGAACATTTGGAACACCAATTTACTGTCTTGGCAAAAATATTGGATTTTGTTGTCCAAGGAGATCTCATGCAAGCGACCCAAGGATATGGTCCTTCACTTGCATGTCTGCCACATGTACACCCAGTGGCCGGCATCAGTTGGACCACCTTGTACAACCATGGAGACCACAACTGCCTGCCTTGGAACTGGATCCTCTCCTGAGCTCAGGATGGGGATCCTTATGAGCAGTCCATTCGGACCGTTCAAACTTGATCTAACGACTGTAATTATTATAACTTTTAAAGAGACCCCCTGTTTGAAGCCGTTAGATCAAATTTCAACGACCTGAATGAATTGCTCAGGAGGATCTCCATCCTGAACTCAGAAGAGGATCCAGGTCCGCTTGCCAATGGGCCATTTCCTCCATGAAGCTAAGTACTGTAATTTTATTTTAACCTCATTACAGAAAAAATACATATATAAAGATAGATAATATGTACTATATCCTGTTAACTTAAGTGCCAATGTATATCTCTTAGAGATAGAGTTTTTGTGATCTCATGCACATATCTTTTAGAGAGGTTATTTGTGATCTCATGCATATGTCTTTGAGAGATGTTATTTTCGGACTCCATAATAAATCTTTTACAACTGATTATATATATTTTTGTGTCTACGAAACTCATTACATGATGAGTGCTGTAAACACAAATAAATGTTGTAGAAGGTTACACAACATGTTTTTCCACATAACATATATATCACTTAATTAATGAGACCATGCATACATTTGAGAGTTTTTGTTTTTACCCAAGCATCTACATATATAACTTAATTGTTTAGTCAAGCAAAAGAACAATGCACGAACGTATATGGGATATAAGTGCATGCATGATTTATAGCTGAAGTGTAAATAAGAAATATAGAGGTCACTAGTCACACTCAAAGGAGTAATAGGACTATAGGGAACATAATATTAATCTATAAAAGTCCCAAGATAAAGGGTAAGAAGTGTGAATGAAATGATCACAAAGGATAAACCATAAACTGTCACTAATGTACGACGGTATTATAAAACCCGTTGTACTTTAAAACACTACGACCGTTTTTAATCTGTCGTATAAAACATGTCGTCTGTTAACATTATTCTACTAGCTGATGCTAAAGTATATAGCAGCCTCATATTTTAAAACCTCTCCAAATCACAATTAAAATAAGCTGTGTAATTAATGGACGGTTTAAATCACAATTAAGAGAGCAGTGACCAGAGTTCTGTGAACAATCGGAATGTTAACTTGTGCATGATTATTAATTACTTAAGACTCATTATCTTGAGCAAAAACTAAACCAACGCCTAGATTCAAGTCTTAAACATTGAAGTTAATATATATATATATATATATATATATATATATATATGTATGTATGTATGTATGTATGTATGTATGTATGTATGTAAATGTAATAAAGAATGTGTTTGTGAAATCTTGCAAAGTGTGTGTTGTACGAAATGGAAGAAAGAGAGAAAATGGTTGGTTTTATATGAAGAATGTGTTTGTGAAATCTTGCAAAGTGTGTTTTGTACGAAATGGAAGAAAGAGAGAAAATGGTTGAAAGAAAATGCATTAACATTTGTTTTATATGCAAGTTCTCTAAATAAGCCAGAGTGAGGTAGTTATAGTTCATATATACTTTTTATCTAACTCATGCACAAATATATTTAGCTATAAGATTGTTTTGGTTTAAGTACATTTTTATTCCGAATTCTTGCGGTTTGGTGATCTGTCTAAATTAAATAGTTTAAAGATCTCGGCATCAAGGGAAGATCAACTCCTACCTCAACAGTGAGAATTGGAAATCAGTGGTCCTAGCATTATAGTTCACTGCTTTATAAACAAGTTGTCATATCATTGCAGCTGGAAATCTTAAGTTCGGATCACTCGAATTTATTCGATACATGTATGAATATTGATATCTACATGTATGCATAATTAACCCTAAAATGTTCTACCTGATGATAGAGGTGATTCATAAGGTTTTCTTCATTATCCGAAAATAAAAAATTCCTACAAATAGGTACTGCAGTCGAAGAGAAGATATTTGCATATGACTAAAGATATATCTTCATGTTATTATAGTACTTATTGCGTAGCCTAATTGAGATCCAATAATATGTGAATCAAGGGTGAAGCATCGGATGTTACTATTATTGAAGAAGTGAGAAAATAGTTTGAGTATTGAATATTATGTCCTTGAGAGGAGTGATGAATGAGAGGGGAGTGAGGTTAATTATATATAAAAAACACTACTCTTATTACCTATTTGTACCATCTCCTTAATGAGACTCATATGTGTTAGCGGGTTCTTCTTCTATTAGAAAGATAGTATAAATAATGATATAAATAGATGGTAAGTGTAGCATTACTCTAATTACATCTCCAAGTTTTAAGTTGGAGGACGACTCACTTTTTGGTTGGTCCACAAATAAGTGTAAAGGCAAAGACAAGAATGGCAGTGAGAATGTGACAATGTGAGACAAGTTCCCACAAAGATTTTGAATACCAAAGCAATCCGATTCCAATTTTCAATGATATACTCAACAGCTGGAGATCGAAACCACTTGAAATATTGTTCAAAAAGAAATTAACAAATAATTGAATCAAATTGCATCAACCCACCACCCAAAACAGGTGGAATAAAAAAAACAACACACATATAGACAATCTAAAACTTCTTTCACACATTTCTATTTCTCAGCAATAGAAAGGAAAAAAACCAAGCTTGTTATTTGGTTAACGATTCAAACGTAATAAAATTTAAAATGAGTATACAATTTGAAGATTTCAATTGCATTCAGAACTTTTAAAGTTTTAAAATTTGTTTAGTAACAAATTTGAGAAACTATTTTCATGTTTGGAAACAAACATCTTTATATTGAAGAGACCTTAACTCAACTTTGAAATCTAACAATATTGCTTCGTATTTCCAAAGGGGGAGTGATTTATACTCCTCTCGGTTTTCTAGACGACTGAATTGAATAAATTGAAAGACAGTTAAGAGACAATTAAGCAAAGAGTGTAAAATTAATGATAATCATGATCAAAACAAAGTTTGATAATCAATTCCCTTTAAAAATATTGATTGTGAGTTCTAATGATGGACTTTTTTAGCATTTTTAAGATTGTTGTTTTTAGTAACCATTCTACCAAACAACTTTGTTATTGGAATGTATTCCCTATTTTTGGAAAAGATTAGAAATCAGTTTTTTGGATTACAGTCCATGGCTGGATCTGAAAACCAACCAAACAAATTAGGAAAATTAAAAATATATAAATGGTTTGAAAATATTTACCTTTTTCAAAATGCTTTAAAGCTTCGCAGCATCGTCAAGGCTGATCAACACTCTCCTTTCTCATCCCAGTACCGTAGACAAAGTCTCATATCTCTCTCTCTCTCTCTCTCTCTCTCTCTCTCTCTCTCTCTCTCTCTATGCATAAACAGACTTGCTCAGGTAACCCTTGTACCCCAATCAAGCTTTTCTCAGAAGAATAATCACAGATCTACCAACAGTCAGCAGTGCCAAGTTAATGAGGCCATAAATATAACACCTGAAAACACTACTGATGATATATATGGGCTCCATCTGTTAACAAAAATAAAAAAAAATTCTAAAACTAAGAAGCAGAATATTTGTTTTAAAAAAAATACCCTTACCTGAAACAGTAGATAGAAAGCATACCAATTAAATCATTGAAGTGAAAAAGGTAAAACTGTGGACTGTGGAGTCTCCTCTCTGTTGTATAGTGGTTTATTGCAGATGCAGCATCATCAAGATTCTCACTTTCAAAGAACTTTAGCAGTTACTTGCATGTGTGAATCTTGATGATGCCACACCCGCAAACAACGACTGTCAATCTATACATTTCCTCCATGCATTTGAGTCAAATACTGTAAATTCTAACAAGAAAATGATACGCAGAATACATATATTTAGAAAGAAAAATTTGAGGACATTCAGAAAGGAAAATAGTGGAGGAATAAAACCAATCCTCGAGAATATGCTAACGTGAAGAGGGGTACCCGAGAAGAATCTAACCCAAGCACAAAACAAAACCCTATTCTTCTTTTAAGGTACTATTTAATAATAACAATGAGTACAGATACAATATTTTGTATATAATTCACAGATTTGATATGCAGCTCAGGTTTCTACAAAGGATCGATCCATTCCCACAAAAACACAATTTTCTTAATTAATTTTTTTATATAAAAAGAAAAATCCATTTCAGATGCCACAGACCTGGTCATATTCAGAAGAAAATCCAGTTGGTATCCAATGTGTAAAGTAGAAAATAAGGTTGAAAAGGAGGAGAAAATTAGAACTAATACCTTAAGATTAGAGAGAAAAGGAATAGAATACGAAATTCGTGATAAAGCAGAGAATAAAAAGAGAAAAAGAGCTCATTTATGCTTGAGATCTAACACTAGAGCGAAGACCCTATGAGTTTGGCCCTTTGTGTGTGTGCGCGTGAGATTTATCAGAGTTAGGAAGCTCATGAACCACGGATGGTAAAACGAAAGTATGGTTTGTTGGAGTTACATATAAGGAACATTGGTGAGCCTAGATTTATTGGTTCTCCAAGTTTTTACAATTTTTGCATTTTGATTGGTAGATGCTGAGTGTACAGTACTGAGCCAATGGGGCCGTAGTTACACATTTTGTAAATTGGGTGTTGGGAGATGAGGGTATCGTTTTCTTGTTATTATGGACTAATGCACCACTCATTATCAGTCTTTTTATATCATTGTCAATTTCTTTGGTTGATTACATTAATTGAAGGGTTTCAAAGTACTTACGCTAAACGAAATCATGTTAACTGAAAGAAGTTGAGGTTGCTTCCAAAGAATGAGGCTTGAAATCATTTTGATTTTTGAGTTCTCTTGTGTTTATTAAAAAAGGAAAAACTTGATATGAATCTAATTTTGTAAGTCACTTTCAAACCCAATTTACCTCTATAATAACTCATAAGTAAGCCCTATTATCCCTTGATTTTTTTTTCAAACCACATTATCTATATACTAAGGGGTGGAGGAGTGGGCTAAGTCTTATAATGTGTTAGTAATAATGTGGTTCAAAGTCTGCTTTGACGAGAATCGAATCTAAGACCTCTCACTTACCAGTAAAGAGGAATACTACGTACCAATCCGTAGTACTAAGTGACTATTATCCCTTGATTTTAAGATTAAGATTTGTGATGAGTTTTGTCTATTTGAGGTTTAAAGAATAAAATTGCTACCACTTAATACTATGGTCTAATGAGATTCCTTTTCACTTGTAAGTGAGAGGTCTTAGATTCGATTCTCACTAAGGGCGAATTTGAACCACATTATTGCTAGTCCCTTATGAGTCTAATCCCACCCTTAAAAAAATTGCCTTAACTACTAGAATAATTGTTGGAATCCAATTATTTCCTATATATCTCCAAGTTAGGGTATGCCTCTTCCTTTATTCTTCATTTTCTTCATAAACCTTTTTCTTAGTTAGGATTTAATATTTGCCTTGCGGAATCTTCTTCTTTGCGCCTCACTATATCATCTTCTTATTCCAGTGTCTTCTTCTCCTTCTAGGTTTTTACTATATATATATGAAATCTTTGATCAAATACCTCAAATCATGAACCAAATAAACTAGTGGGGGGAGGGGAGTGTTTAGTTGATTTGATTCCTTTTCGTTACTTCCCATTACGTTTTTCTTCCTTTTTGCTAAGTAAACATGCCCTTAAGTTTATGGAAAAAAATTTTAACAGTCTAATGTGACATGAGACATTTTTTTTTTCATCCTCACACTCCCACTTATGTGTGACAACCTTTAGAGCCTAACATATGTGGATAATTTAAACTTAACTGCGTACATGGCCGGTTGAGGCTCAAACATAACCTGCTTTAAAACCAATGAAATTGAGATTTCGTGTAAAAAACAGAAGAGTGTGAAGCTTAAAGTCTCATGTATGGTAAGACTACTGTATACTTCTAGCTTGTACAGGGTTTAGGTTTTAGACGGCTTCTATCACGTGACCTTTCTACTGCGTACATTATATATATACTTATAGTAATATGAATGAGATCATTTGTTGGTCAATGAAGATTAGTTGAGTTGGTAAGTATCGTTCTCTTCATTAGACTAAGGCCTAGGTTTGAGTTTCGGTAACGGCAATCCATCTTAGTAGGCAATTTGTAAAACCAAAAACGGGTTAAGCTCTTTAAGCCTTCAAAGAGGTTTCTATTATATTCTAGCCCCGGAGTAGTCTCCTCTCTCCCTAAACCTTTTTATTTACCAGAAAAAAATTGAGAGGATCTGTTTTTTTTTTTTTCGAACGATAGATTATGTTAGAGCATCCCCAGTAAGGGGCTCTACATAGGGCTGGAAAAGTGGTGGATATAGCCCCATTTAGAGCTCTGAGGAATCTTTGGGGCTTTATAAAAGAATCTCTCCCAATGAGGGGCTATATCTTTTAGGCTCTATATGGGGCTATATATACATATATTTATTTATATAGTAATTTGATTAAGCGATGATTTTTATTTTTTATTTTTTTGTATTAGTTTTTCTTATTATTTTTTTTTTTTGTGTTAGCTTTTCTTAATTTAATTTTTGGACGTGTTATCTTAATTTTTTTATTTATGAATTGAACCCTTCAACCTAAAAAGTTCAAATTGTGACAAAGTTAGATTTCATCGCTTATAAATGGTTCGTTGGATTAGATTCTCTTATTTCAAACTCATCCGTTGAAAGAAACAAACCCCCACTTTGCCCTTTGAAATAATTTGATTTTCACGTATAACACAACAATTTACCTAGCACCAAATGGTAAATTAGTATCATACAATTTTGAAAAAAATTATTTGAAAATTTCACCCATCAATGCCTATGAACGTTAAATCAATTTGAAATTTTAATTTTTATGGAATTTAAAACAATCATTAATTAGCCAAATTGCAAGAAAAATAAGCAAGAAAAAAGAATTAAAATAATAATAAAGGGAGAGTATATCTGTATTTGCAAGTGGATGGAGAGTGAGAGAATTTTGCTCACATGGGTTGCTACTATTTTTGTGGGACCCACTGGTTTTTGAGGCTAGATGTAGCCCGATTTTATATTACCCAAGAAAAGAAGTTGCTAGCCCTAGTGGTAGATCAAGCCCCATTTTCCGGCTCATTGGGGATGAATTTTGCTTACTAAGGCTGGAAATGTGGTAGCCTCATAGAGGATAAAGCCCTCATTGGGGATGCTCTTAGATTAGCTACCAATAAGATTCGAACTTACGCCGTTATGTAAAGACTCAACACTTTCTATCATTGTAGTAAAATACCACTTGCAGAGCATCCGTTTGATTTTACTACTTTGATTAGAAAAATAAAAGAAAAGTGTGCAACAAAACAAAAAACTAAACTGAATCATCGTTTTAATGCCTGAACAAGAAAATACGAAAACACTAAGTCCCGTGTAAAGTGACATAGTCGGATATTCCCTCCTCGCATCAGGTCTCCACCTGAAGTCCTCGTGGCCGTGTCCGTACATGATGATGTGGCTGCTACAGATTTTGCTTTTCTTTTATTCCTTATTCATCATCAAACTAAAAAAAAAATATGTTTGCAGAATGATTCATATTTGTTTCCTTCTTCTTTTGGGCAATGACTATCCAAACTGATAATTTAAACGGAGCTTTGGTAAAATGATTCAAGTTCATGTTAAGAACTTATTGCTAATACAATAACTAAAGTTCTTCCGAATCCGATTTGTTCCAAAATGTACCCAACATCAATATCATTAAGATTTTCATTAAAATGTCATGTACGACTAATATGAACACTACGATTCACGATAAATGGAAATCAATGATTTTACTTTATGCTTTTCAAATCAAAGTTTGAGATTCATCCCATCATGAGATTTGAATAGGATAAAATTTCTACTTCATATCATTGTTCTCACAGCCTAAAGAAAAAGTGTGCGCTGCACTGATACAATCAGATATTATATTTCCATCCCAAGGGCCACAAGCAGGCTGCATTTTCACTGGTTCTGAATTTTCTATCAGGTTGAATTTTGGTACTTGGTTGGCTGCATGCCATAAAGAGATGATAGACATTTAAAGGATCTAAATTGGCCACATCTATACTTTAGATATTGCCAGTCTTCTACTGCTGCAATTGGGTCATGTAATCATGTACTCGTACAATATTTTGCAGCTTACTTTATATATATTCATATTATTTTTAATTGAACTATTAATATCTCTTTAAACTTGTATTTGCTATCTAAACTTTCTTTACAAAATCAATCCAATATGTAAATTTGTTTTTACACCCAGTTAAAAAATAAAAAACCAAAATCTAACGCGAAGCAAAAAAAAACCTGGTTAGACAATGAAAAATGTTCTGAAAGGTACAAAGTCGTCGAAGTAGAGAGAATGTGAATACAGCAAACCCAACTCGCATCCCTACAAAACAAAAACACGTGAGAATCAGTTTTGAAGGCTATACTCCACGGAAAACAGCAATTAAACCAACTGGCATGGCTGTAGTCTTAGTTGCTAAAACTAAGAAACTATATTGGCTTTCATTTGCAATATCTTTCAGCAATTAGAATGTACATGATTCCCAAAATATTTATGGTTTATATTTGAATGTATCATTATTGTTATTATTATTATTATTATATTATTATTATTATTATTATTATTATTATTTTTTTTTTTTTTTGAAAACTGGAGAATATCATAACCAGGGCCAAAGCCAAAAGAGGAGCAGAAGGCCACCACGGACCAACAACAACAGACTAAACAAGACAAATGTAGAGGCTGAGACACGGAGGCTTCCCTATGTCACCTTAGTCCCATCGAAGCAAAAAACTAAGTTGGAGGGCAAAGTAGGCCATCCTTGTTTAGAATTCAAACAAACAAAGATGGGGGTCATTGAACCTAGACTAAGTAGCACATCTTTGCTCCCACATGCGACGCCACAAAATCGGCCGCTCCATTTGTTGTTCTCGACACCCAAGACCAGTCACAGGACATGAACTTCGCACCAGCTCTTCGAATCTCATACAGGGTCAGAAGGACCTCCCAGTTTCCTTGATCAATGCTTCCGTTCAACCAAGAAATGAGTTCCTTCAAGTCCGATTCCACCATGATATTCTCGAAACCCCTTTGTTTTTCCGTTACACAGCCCTCCAAAATCTCATTCGCCTCTGCTACCAACACACTAGAAACCCAAGTTTCTCTTCTCCTCACAGCTAAGCAACAGTAGGTGGAGTATCTAATAACAGCGCCGATATGGCAGCCCCAGTTTAATCCCTTTCAGCTGGCATCCACATTCACTTTAACCACCCCATTCTCCCACGAAGACCATCCAGGAGAAGCAGTGGGCCCATCAGTCACTGTGCTTCGTGTATTTCCATGACCTGAGCAAGCCTTAAGGAAAGATGAGGCAGCCATTGAAACAACAAGTATAGTTTTCACCGGGATGGTTGTTTAAAGTTAAGACTGCCTCGCACTGAGCCTTCTAAATAGACCAACATGTAAACGCTA